AAGGCAGAAGAGAGTGGGATAATATATTCTAAGGTCTCAAAATAAATAAATAATAAAAAATTAAAACTGCCAGCAGGAATCCTCCTCCACTTGACAAAGTTGTCCTTCAGAATTGAAGGAGAGAGAAAGAATTCTCCAAACAAAAGCTGAAAGTGTTCATAACCACTACAGCAGCTAGAAATGTTCAAGAATGTTCTTTAAGCTGAAACAGAAGGACACTAATTAGTAAGAAGAAAACACATGAAAGTATAAAACTCACCAGTAAAAGCAAGTATAATTAAATTCAAAATACACTAATGTAATGATGGTGGGTACATCGCATAACTCTAGTATAAAGACTAGAAGACAAAAGTAGCAAAAATAACTGTAACAAAAGACACAGAATGATGGAATGGATTAAAAAACAAGACCCAACTATTTCTGCCTATAAAAGACTCACTTCAGCTTTAAGGATACATGTACTGAAAGTGAAGGGATGGAAAAAGATAGTCCATGGAAATGGAACAGAAAAGAAAGCAGGAAAGCCATACTTACATTAGACAAAACAGACTTCAAGTGAAAGACTGTAATAAAAGACAAAGAAAGCCATTATATAATGGTGAAGGAGGTCAATTCATCAGATGATATAACATTAGTAAATACTTATGCAACTAATACAGGAGCACCTAAATATATAAAGCAAATATTAACAGATCTAAAGGGAGAAGTAACAATACAATAATAATAGTAAGGAACTTTAATACCCCACTTTCAATAACAGATAGATCATCCAGACAAAAAATCAATAAGAAAACATTGGACTTAAACTATACATTAGCTTAGATGAACCCAAAAGACATTTAAAAAACACACCATCCAACAGCAACAATACACATTCTTCTCAAATACACATGGAATATTCTCCAGGACAGATCATATGTTAGGCCAAAAACAAGCCTTAATAAATTTAAGAAGTTTGAAGTTATATCAAGCATCTTTTTCAACCATAACAGTATGAAACTAGAAATCAATTACAAGAAGAAAACTGAAAAATTCACAAATATGTGAAGATTAAACAACATGCTACTAAACAACAAATGGGTTAAAGAAGAAATCAAGAGAAATGAAAAAAATATCTTGAGACAAATGAAGATAGAAACAGAAAATACCAAAACTTACGGGATAAAGCAAAAGCAGTTCTAAGAGGGAAGTTTATAGTGATAGATACCTACATTAAGAAAAAGAAAGATATCATATAAACAACCTAACTTTAACCCTCGAGAAACTAGAAAAAGGAAAACAAATTAAAACCAGAGTTAGAAAAATGAGGGAAATAACAAAGATTATAGAGCAAATAAATGAAATGTAGCCTAAAGAGAAATAGAAGAGGCCAAAGAAATGAAGAACTGTATTTTTGAAAAGATAAAATAAGATAAATCCTTAGACTTACCAAGAAGAAAAAAAGGAAGAATTCAAATAAATAAAATAATTAGAATGGAAGGTTGAGACATTCCAACTGATACCACAGAAATACGAAGGAGACTAGTATGAACAATTACCAACAAAGTGGACAACCTGGAAGAAATGGACAAATTCCTAGAAACATACAACCTACCAAGACTGAATCATGAAGAAATAGAAAATCTGAGCAGACCAATTACTAGTAATGAGATTGAATCAGTAATCAAAAACCTCCCAGTGAAGAAATCCAGGACCATATAGCTTCACTGGTGAATTCTACGAATGATTTAAAGAAGAATTAATACCAATTCTTTTCAAACTCTTCCAAAAAAGTAGAAGAGAATGGAACACTTCTAAACTTATTTTACCAGGCCAGCACTACTCTGATACTAAAGCTAGATAAGGACACTACAAGAAAAGAAAATCGCAGGTCAATATCCTGATGAACACAGATATGAAAATCCTCAACAAAATATTAGCAAACCAAATTCAACAGTTTAATTAAAAGGACTTAAAGAATCATACACTGTTATCAAATGAGATGTAAGGATGGTTCAACATCTGTAAATCAATACCACATTAACAAAAAGGACAAAAATAGTATAATCATCTCAATAGATACCGAAAAAGCATTTGACAAAATTCAAAATTCCTTCATGCCAAAAACTCTCAATGAATTGGATATAGAGGGAATGTACTTCAACACAGTGAAGGCCATACAGGACAATCCCACAGCTAACAACATACATCATACATCATGAAAAGCTGAAAATGTTTCCTTTAAGATCAGGAATAAGATAAGGATGCCCACTCTCACCACTTTTGTTCAGCATAGTTTGGAAGTCCTAGCCAGAACAATTAAATCAAGAGCAAGAAATAAAAGTCATCCAATTGTAAAGAAAGAAGTAAAATTATCTCTATTTGCAGATGACATATTATACCGGAAACCCTAATTCCACTAAACAACTGTTAGAACTAATAAATGAACTCAGAGAAGTTGTAGGATATGAAATCAGTACACAAAAATCAGTTGCATTTTTTACACTAACAATGAACTATCAGAAAGAGAAATTAAGAATTCAATTTACAATAGCATCAAAAAGAATAAAATACTGAAGAGTAAATTTAACCAAGGAGGTGGAAGATCTATGACTGAAAACTACAAGACACTGACGAAAAAAATTGAAGACACAAATAAATGGAAGGATACTCTGTGTTCACAGATTGGAAGAATTAATATTGTTAAAATGTCCATACTATCCAAAGTGAACTACAGATTCAATGCACCCCCTCTCAAAATCCCAATGGTATTTTTTTTAGAGAAATAGAAAAAACAACCTTAAAGTTTGTATGAAACCACAAAAGACCCGGAATAATCCAAAGCAATTCTGAGAAAGAAGAATAAAGGCTGGAGGTATCACACTTCCTGATTTCTAACTGCATTACGAAGCTACAGTAATCAAGGCAGTATGGTATTGGCATAAAAGCAGACACACAGATCAATGAAGCAGAATAGAAAACCCAGAAATAAACCCATGCACTTATAGTCAATTAATTTTTTACAAAAGAACCAATAAAATGCAATAGAAAAGGCTAGTCTCTTCAATAAACTGTGTTGGGAAAACTGGATTTCCACATGCAAAAGAATGAAACCTGACCCTATTTTATACTATACACAAAAATTAACTCAAAATAAATTAAAGACTTGAACATAAGATCTGAAACCATAAGATTCCTGGAAGAAAACATAGAAGGTAAGCTCCCTGACACTGGCTTTGGCAATGATTTTTTTGGATTTGACACCAAAATCAAAGACGACAAAAGCAAAAATAAACACATGGGTCTATATCAAACCAAAAAGCCTCTGCTCAGCAAAGGAAACCATCACTAAAATGGAAAAACAATCTACAGAGGAAGTATTCGCAAGCCACATATCTGATAGGCGGTTAATATCCAAAATATACAAGGAACTTATATAGCTCCATAACAATAATAATAGTAATAATAATAACCCAATTAATAAATAAGCAAGGACGTGAGTAGTCACTTTTGTCCAAAGAAGACATCCAAAACCATTGATTTTTATTCAAAATCATCCAAAAATCAATGGTTTTGATTAGCCTCCCCTCTCTCAGGACGGTTATTGTCAAAAGGACAAGAGATAATAAATGCTGGCTGGCAAAGATGTGGAAAAAAGGGAACCCTGTTGGTAGGAATGTAAACTCGTATAGCCACTATGGAAAACAGTTTGGAGGGTCCACAAAAAATTAAAAATAGAACTACCAGAGGATCCAGCAATTCCACTTCTGGGTATATACCCAAAAAAAAAAAAAAGAAACCATTATTCCAAAGAGGTATCTTCACTTCCATGTTCACTGCAGCATTATTCACAATAGCCAAGATCTAGAAACAACTTAAGTGTCCATCAACAGATGAATGGATAAAGAAAATGTGGTATATACGTGCAACGGAACATTATTCACCCTTAAAAAAGTTATGTACAACAACATGGATGAACCTGAAGGGCACTATGCTAGGTAAAATAAAGCAGACGGAGAAAGACAAATGTTGTATGGTATCACTTATATGTGGAATCTAAAAGACAGGATAAAAAAAAAAGTCAAACTCACAGAAACAGTAGAAAGGTGGTTGCCAGGGGCTGCGGGGGGAAATAAGGAGAGGCCGGTAAAAGGGTACAAAATTTCAGTTATAAGATGAAGAGGGTCTGAAGATCTAAAGTGTAACATGGTGACTATAGTTAATAACACTGTACTCTATAATTGAAATTTGCTAACAGATTAGAACTTAAATGTTCACATAAAAAAACAAAGGGGGTGGTAAATCTGGAGGTCATGGATGTGTTAATGAACTCGACGGGGATAAACGTTTCACAACATATATGTGTATCAACTCATGATGTTATGTACTTTATATGTCTTACAATTTTATTTGTTGACTACAGTTCAGTAAAGGTGAAAAAGAAAGTTTGCAATTTACATGACTTTATGGCAAGGATTAAGAAGTATACCTTCAGAACTAGAATTCAATTTGCTTTTTTAAAGCAGAGTATTAATTATATTATTAGGAGGCTCTGTGGATGGTATCTTGGTGTATTGCTTTTCATTGTTCATTGAATTCTCAGTACATTAAACATAATACCTATAAAGGAGAGAGAAAAAGGAAGGCAAGATTTCCCACATTCATATTTTGAGTCTTATGCAAAAGTATCTTCAACGTTTCACACAAGCTGACAGTCTCAGCTCTGGAGAAAGATGACAAAACTGCAAAAATCCACCATCCTCATTTTACCTTCTACCTGTAAGCCTTTTTGAAAAATCCCTACAGAGAACAAAGTCATTAACCCCAAGGAAGTAGGAAATTGGCATGTGCAATTGCAGTGAGAGTTGGAGACTTCTAGATCCCTAATTTTCTATAATTATTATATGGACTAGTTAAGATCACTGACTTTTCTCCCTTCTTACAATCCCCAACATCCTCACTGAACTCCTTGACCAAAATTCTTTGATCAAGTAAATAATTTCAGGAGACAGTGGGTTTACCTCCGTACACGTTCCACTCTGTCATCTGTCCGAAGATACTTCTTGGCATTTTCTCCCTTGCCAAAGCCAGCACAGTCTTCTGGGTTGGCAAAAACCTATTCCAAATTCCAAGAAAAAAAATGTATTTCAAATGCCAAATAACATGGGAGTATTCCACCTGATAAGTTACTTGCATTTTAATGGAAGAAATACAGGCATCCAGGTTGGCCCTTATGAAAAGGAAATTTGGAGCTCAAACACGGGGAGGGATCTAGACTTTAAGCTTTTCCTGACAGTGCAAAGCATTTTTTAAAGAAAAGCATAAATAAGAACTTAAATAAAAACTAATGTATAAAAATAGTGAAAAGGAAGCAAAAATGGAAAAGAGAGCCTAATTCCAAGCCATCATTGACTATTATTATGGTGAACTGGCATCTTTTTATAGTGATGTTGATGAAACTTCCCTCAAGAGTATTAGCATTCCCAACTGGTTGGCTCATATGAAAGTCTTTAATTTACTAACCATGGATGTTAGAGACCAGGCAAGAAGTATAAGAATGAGGGGCAGGAAGTATATTTTGTTCTTTATTAGGATATGTGTATCTCTTTTCTTTGGCTGAATTAACAAACACTTTGGGTTGAATAATATAGTGAAACATAAGAAGTTGAACGGCATTCCTAAAAATACCAAGTACGTGTTCTAAGCATATGTTCGTTTATTCCTTCCTGCAAATTATTAGGCTGTTTGATATGATCTCCCCATCCCTTGAAACTTGAAAAAGGCATTTAAAAAATATTTAAGTATGTTCCACTGTTTAATAATTTATAATAAAGAAAAACATGAACTACAAAATTAGCCTAATTTCAGCTTAGAAAGCCATAAATATTACATTTTTTTCTAAATATGACATAAGCATTTATTTCAGATAAAGATGTTGAGGAGAACTGATGGGAAGGGACATGATACAGTATCAGCTCTTGAGATCAGCTCTGTCTGTCTTGTTTCTAAATAAATGCTTGGCACATGCTAGATGCTCAATAAATATGTTTCAAATAAGTAAATAAATGTATTACAGTGGAAAGTGTGCATGGGATTTGAGTTTAAAGCAATCCGAATTAGAATCTCAGCTTCACTCTTTATTGGTGTATAACCTTGGGTACGCTATTTAACCTGTCTGACTTTCATTCAGGTCCTCATCTATAAAATGGGGGGACTAATTCTCATTTCACATGATAATACTAACAATTCCATGATTTTGCACATACAAAGACTATCACATGGCTCCTGGCACTCCATGAATTTGAGTTTTCTCCTTTTCTTGTAAGATGGGGTACATTTCTGCTATGCTTAGTGCTACTCTGTTTCTAGAGGACACTGTGGACCCAATGGTAGGAAGCCACTTTACAGCCTGCTGCTTTGACACCTGGACCTCTCATATTTAAGAGACTTAAATATGTCTGTAGGTGCCCCCCCCATTAAAATGCAAATATCCTTGGGAAGGAATTATACCTCAAGAGAGTAACAGGGAAATACCTTAAGGATGACTATAACCTCTAGATAAAAGCAAGTCTCTGAAGGATAAAAACTCGTGTGGGGGGGCGCGCCTGGGGGTGGTTCAGTCAGTTAAGCATCCGACTTTTGATTTCGGCTCAGGTCTTGATCTTGGGGTAGTGAGATTGAGCCCCATGTTGGGCTCTGCGCTGGGCGTGAAGCCCGCTTAAGATTCTCTCTCTTCCCTTCCTCTTCCGCTCTCTAAATAAATAAATAAACAAATAAATAAAAAAGACAGAGAGAAATAGGTGGTTTCCAGGAAGAAATTGCTGACTAGGGACAAGGACCACACCAATGAAAATAGTTTTAACTTTGTCAAGGTAGCTTTGTTCTACCCCCACTTACTGTGTTATAAACCCTGCTTGAGTATAGGATATAGTTTCCAAAATCTTTCTACTACCTTCCCCAAGGCTCAGTTTAAGAAAAAATCATTCTTATGATGCTGGGCAGAAATAGCATCCACTTAAGAAGTTGGAACTACACAAAATTCAAATGCCTTGCCCCAGTCATAAAAGGCTCTACTGATAATAAGAACTTAATTCTATTCCCAAAGGTGTACCCTTTACCTGTAATAGAACTAAAAACACCAGCTAACTGTCTGGAAAATGACTATTTTCTAAACTCTAGTTGGCAAAATTAACTTCAAAATCATAGAGTTTTCTTGAAAACTTTAACACTCCAAGAATCTCATGTACTAAGTAGCATGACAAAAGGTAAAAACCACTTACTAGCTTCCGGGAGAAAGTACCTGTTCCATAAATATATCAGATGCATCTATACCAAATGATGGCATAATTCATTTGCAACATTAAACAATGTGCCATTGGGCTTTACCAAAAAAGTTTTTTAAAAAGTAAATTAAGAAAATTGTTTTCCCAAATGCCAACCCTTGAAGGAAATTATTGCCTCCAAATGTCTTACCTTTCTTGTCAATCTATAGAATGCAGTTGCAGTACTCATAAACATCATTTTTGAAAGAATAATCGTTGTATAGGAAGCATAGGCCATGAATACTTCATTTTCCATTAGCTCAGTGAGGTCAACCATTTTTTCAATTTTGGTCTGGAATCTTAAAAAGAGTTTAGACAAGAGAGGAAAGGCAGACATAAATACCTCAAATAACCTGACAGTCACTTGGTGTACTTATGTTGCAGCATTAACCATATTGTTCTTAAAAATATCTTGGGTTATTATTGCGGGAGAAATAATCTTTTCTAAAATTTCAAAATAAACAATATATTGTGGTTTTTTTCTATTCTATAACATTAAGCTTGAAGATATCAAACAAGCATGGAGTGAAAATGAAAATGTAAGGGTATGAGAAGCAAAAGTAAATGGGCAAAATGCTGTAAAGATAGACTAAAATCCTATTTTTGCATCAAGATGAACCACAAGTTGGACACAAAAGACCAGAGTTTATGGATTGATCTCTTTAGAAACATTAAATTATGTACATAGTAGCACCATTAATGTCTGATTAGAAATGGCTAAGTTTGGGGTGCCTGGGTGGCTCAGTCGTTAAGCGTCTGCCTTCGGCTCAGGTCATGATCTCAGGGTCCTGGGATCCAGCCCTGCATTGGGTTCTCTGCCCGGCGGGAAGTCTGCTTCTCCCTCTCCCACTCCCCCTGCTTGTGTTCCCCCTCTCGCTGTGTCTCTCTCTGTCAAATAAATAAATAAAATCTTAAAAAAAAAAAAGAAAGAAAGAAATGCCTAAGTTCTGGGGCACCTGGGGGGCTCAATCAGTTAAGCATCTGATTCTTGATTTCAGCTCAGGTCATGTTCTCAGGGTCCTGACATCGAGCCTCGAGTTGGACTCTGCGTTCAGTGTGAAGTCTGCTTGAGATTCTCTCTCTCCCTCTTCTTCTGTCCCTCCCCCCTGCTTGCACTCTCTCTCTCAAATACATAAAGTCTTAAAAAATAAAATAAAATAAGAAACACCTAAGCTCTAATATATGTCCTGCTTTAGAAACCCACCTTACAGCTTTTTGTCATTTCAATAGTATTTAAGATCCCAGGTTACAAGATCTGAATTCCAGTCCCACCTTTTGGTTATTAACTTTGGTTGAGAGATTTGGCCTCTCTGAAACTAAATTCCTTCATTTCTAAGATGGGAATAGTAATAGTTCCTAACTTAGTGGTTTGTTGTCAGGATTTAATTGAGATACCATGTGGAATATACTTATACTTAGCACAGCACCTGGCCCGTGAAGAACCCTCGATAAAGTTTATTATATCCTTATGATCATCATTATCACCATGATTATAGTCATCATTCATACCAACACAAGTGAACAAGGAGAAGCAGGATAATGGAAACAAAATGCCAGGCAAATGCAAAGGAAGGAAGTGGTGTTTATGGGACTCTCATAGAGGGAATAAGGGAAGGAAGGTAGCTTTATGTAACTCTTCACATTACTTCACCTTCCACTGAATGTAACTGTCTGTCTGGAGTTGGAAATATAATTGGGAATGTACCCAGAAGGGAACCTAAGGTATACTGGTGATACTCAAGTCAAAGTGGGTAGGGATTTCAGGTAAAGCTTAAAATTTATTTTTTTTTAATTTTTTTTTTAAAGATTTTATTTATTTATTTGAGAGAGAGAATGAGAGAGAGCAGGGTCAGAGGGAGAAGCAGACTCCCTGCAGAGCAGGGAGCCCGATGCGGGACTCGATCCAGGGACTCCAGGATCATGACCCAAGCCGAAGGCAGTCGCTTAACCAACTGAGCCACCCAGGCGCCCCAAAGCTTAAAATTTAAATTCCCTACCTTACCTGGTAGCCATTCTTTTTAACATCCTCTTGTTCTGTTATCAGCTCTGCTGTCTGTTTCTTCTCTCTTTTCCACATAAACACACATCTTTTCTCACACCCAAGCTTCAACACTATTTAACCTACTTAACATGGAGTTCGGTTTCTTGGACAAAATGTCCATTCCTGCCTTTGAAACTCAACCCCTGTATGCAACCTTATCAGACTGACATCGATCAAACTCTGATCATTCTATCCATCTACCAATAACCTATAAATCTATATCTCTTTCTCTACTCTGTGACTGGTCATATAGCTGTCTACATATTGCTGTGAATGTGATATAAACAACACACATATACATATATGCTTAATTTTATAATGTCCAACTATGCCCTATACTTTTTGTGTGTTACATAATCTTTGTAACCATTCTAGTATAGTCCTCATAACTATATGCATTTTACAGATGAAGAAAGTGTGAATCAGAGATGTTAAGCAGCCAAGCTAGGACACAAACCCACGTCTCTGACTTCGTATCTTTACACTACACTGCACTGTCTCCTTCAAGAGACTGTAAAGTGCTTAATGCTGATTCAACTAACACTGACTGAATGCCTGCCTGTGGCTGGGGCACCTCACATCTATTATCTTGTTTCCTCTCCCAGTGATGCTACAGGGTAGATACTATTACTCCCATTTTTCAGATGAAGAAACCAAAACTTCCAAAGTAACTCCTATTTTTTTCAAAGATTTTATTTATTTATTTGAGAGAGAGAGAGAGCACAAGCAGGGGGAGGAGCCAAGGGAGAAGCAGACTCCCCACCGAGCAGGGATCCCGACGTGGGACTCGATCCCGGGAGCTCAGGATCATGACGTGAGCGGAAGGCAGACGCTTAACCGACTGAGCCACCCAGGCATCCCAGTAACTCCTATTTTGAAAGGTGGGCTGAATATGTACTTCAGATTTAAGCAAACAGAAACTGTATGTTTCAGTGTAAAAAACAAAACCAAATGCATATGATACATTAATCCACCTCCACAAGTCAGCAGTCTTGAAAGCACAGAATGTGATATAAGCTCTCAGTGCAAGGTAATACTTTTAGTACCATTTAATGTACCTGCTCTTGTTCTGGTAGCGGGGGTGGGGGGGGTGGGGAGGAAGTCAGGAATAAACTGCGCTATCCTTCAAAGCTCATGTAAAATAATTAGCTTAATAAGGGATCCTTAAGTCCTATGCCTCTGGACAGAGATCTGAAGAAACACAGCAGGAATGTTAATTTAAAAAAATTAAGAAAAGTTTATCAAGTCGGAACTGTTGTTATTTAACAATAATTTTACAACTAAACAGTTTCTGTAGGTCGCTACAGATGTTTACAGAATGAAATGTATTTAGCAATGGAATATAAGTCCAGAGAATGGTTTTCTTTTGGTTAAAAACTGGTCTTGAAAAAGTAGAGAAAAAGCGGAAGCCTTCCAGAGCTGCTGGTGGGAAAAGAACACAAAGATGTCAGCAGTTGGAGGAAAAGGGCAATGCAAGGTTTTTTTCTTTCAATGTGAATAACACATTGAAAGCGTACCTCACAGCAAGAGTTTTTCCAACACCAAGAATGTAGCTTAACTCCTGGAGTCTGTGGTTTGGGGAGATGGGCCAATGCTGAGCCTCTGACTTCACATCCTAAAGGTCCATGAACCATTTCTCAGAGACCAATATCTTCCACTCCCAGCATACCGGAGGGCCAGGTGAGGAGAAGGTAAGGCATTGAGAAACAGAAGTGATTTGGGGAGGGATGTGCTCTGGTGAGCGCTGTGTATTGTGTAAGACTGATGAATCACAGACCTGTACTCCTGAAACAAATAATACATTATATGTTAATTAAAAAAAAGAAAGAAAGAAACAGAAGTGATTTACAGCATGGAATAAGATGGTGCTGGCCTAGACTTTTTTTCAAAGCTGATTTGTCAGGACATTGCCTTGAGCCTACATTACGGCAGGGCACTGCAGTCAATACAAAATTAATGGGGCGCCTGGGTGGCTCAGTTGGTTAATAAGCATCTGCCTTCGGCTCAGGTCATGATCTCGGGGTCCTGGGACAGAGCTCCGCTTCTCCCTCTCCTTCTGCCCCTTCCCTTCACTCGTGCTCTCCTACTCTCTCTCAAATAAGTAGATGAAATCTTTAAGAAAAAAAAAAAAAACCCACAAAATTACTGAACACTTTTTACTAGGGGAGGTCGCCAGGAGGGAGGAGAGCAGTGTAGTAGTGTTAATAATTAAGAGGGTAAATTGTTAAGTGTTTTGAGTATTCTAGGAACGAGGTATGAATAATCTAAGAAAAGACAAAACATGAAACTTGGTTATGAATTAGAGAGAATAAAATGTTACAATGATGAATTACATTTGTCCAGGGTATCGTTCCCTTCATTGTCCATCACTGGTTGGCACAGCAGAGAATACCTCCATCTTTTTCACCAGAGAGCTGGGCTCAGTCCCCTAAGGTGGAGGTGATGCCTCTGAAGGGGCAAAGAGCAAAGTGCGAAGCACACAGAGACTCTGGAGCTAGACTAGAGTCTGGGTAAATTCGGCTCTGCCATTTACTCGTTGTGGTTTAACTTCTCTGGGACCTACTTACCTTACCTGTATAATGAGGTTAATAATACTTCCTATCTCACAAGATTCTTGTGAGTATCAAATGAGCAAAGTCTAAAGACATTAGAAAAGCACTGGGAACTGGTAAATATTATATAAGTATTTGATAAATAAGTTCCCACTTTGGCACTGTTCTAGGCACTGAGGAGATCATTTGAGGGTTTTCAAAAAGCTTACCCATTATCTCACTTGATCTAGAAAATTCTAAGGTAGTCAGAGCAAGCAATATTTGTCTCTGCCTTTAACATGTAAGGAAGCTGGGGCGCCTGGGTGGCTCAGTTGGTTAAGCGACTGCCTTCGGCTCAGGTCATGATCCTGGAGTCCCGGGATCGAGTCCCGCATCGGGCTCCCTGCTCAGCAGGGAGTCTGCTTCTCCCTCTGACCCTCCCCCCTCTCATGTGCTCTCTCTCTCTCTCATTCTCGCTCTCTCAAATGAATAAATAAATAAATAAAATCTTTAAAAAAAACTAATAATAACATGAAAGGAAGCTGAAGTCTGAAGAGGTAGAGTGAGTAATGTGACCCAAATTCACAGTGGAGGGGCCAAGACTGGAAACCAGTTTTCTCAAGTGTTTAGCTCATGGGCTATCCACCATCAAGGCTAAGAATTCTAGACCACTCTGGTTTCTGGGGGCCTTTTTCTGTCCAATCTCCTATTCCTATCTTGCCCTCCTCATCCAAATACAGCACCTACCCCTACTGTATCTATTACAGTTGAGTTTTTTATCTCTCAACCATGGAATATTCCTCTTCTTTTTACAGGCTCTGGGCCAAAAAGGGCAAAGTTCTCTTCTTATTTATGGTGGCCTTGCAACATCAATATTGTGAAACACACAAAAAATCTGGTCACACAACCCCGAGCCATGACTCCTCAATTTCATACCTTCTAAAACAAATGTAATACTACCACAAGATTAAAAAAAAAAAAAAAAAAAAGATAATTCAATTATCTTGGCCTCCTATGCTTCAGAGCCTGGGTGCTGGGGAGAAAATGCTGGGGGCTCTGGGAGAATGTGAGGTAAGGCTGTTCTCAGGGGCCTCTGCTGATCTCCTTTCCCAGCCTCACTGATAAACTCCACTCTAAAACAAACCCTTAGAAAAAATTGTACTTTTCTGCCACCAAGAGCAATATTCAAATTGGGACTGATTTGCCATTTAAAAAAATGACCAAAATTCTACATAGTCCTCTTATTTGGGGAACAGCAAAGGACAGCAAACCCTATTACTATCTTAACTCCCAGTATGGTAAGCCCCCAGGGGGGGATGCGAAAAGGGTCTGTAGTTTGGCATTCACCACAAGCTAAGGCCCTGAAGAACTCTAATCTTAAACGGCAAACAGTGGAAAGGCTGTAAACTGGAGGATCTGGGGAATTTTCCATGTGCCCCTATAATGATGCTTGATTATAAGCCACTTGGCACTCTCTTGGAGAGAAAGCAGACAGAGGGCAAAGGAGAAAACAAAAGGGTGCCCAGAATACTAAGAGGCCTTGGGACTATTTCGAAGAAAGCAAGGAGATGGGAGATTTGCATGCACCTTCTCTCCACTGCCCCGGGGCCGCCATAACAGTAATATCCGAGGCCTCACCTCCCAAATAAGAGTTTCCCATGGCTTCCTCCTCCAGACTGGGGGGCTGGCTATAATATCACAAAGTTTAACCTATGTCCTCCTGCACTTTGTTATTGTCGTTATATTATTATCATTAAACTTGACAATGTTCCTCTTGCCTAGCAAAGTGAACCACGAGGAGCAAATCCTTCTTGTACTTCAGTAGGTGCAAAGGCCAACTTGCCCAGGGCCGCTGCAGGATTCCACACCCTTCGGTTGAACAGAAGTTGCCTAACATATAGCGACTTCATGTATTATACAATTTGCACAAAGAGCGTAGAGCACACAGAGACTCTGGAGCTAGACTAGGGTCAGGGTGAATGCGACTCCGCCACTGACAGGTTGTGATTTAACGTCTCTGGGACCCCAGAGTTCCAGGGGGCCCATTCAAGGTGGACGCTCGCGTGGCTTGAGAATAAAAAGTGAGTAACTCACTACGTAAACATAAAAGGACTTATTCTCTTAAGTTTCTTTCCTGTTTGACCACGGGGAAAACTTACCTACCAGGGTACAGGAACTCAACTCCGTTTCAGAGGCGACGGATTGAAAAGCCAGAGCTTAGCAGCTACAGAGAGCAAAGAAGTTTCACTCGGGCAAAGCCCACCCGCTCCACCCACTTCGCTCCACCCACTTCGCTCCTTCCCGCCCACCGCGCACCCTTTCCTTGCGCGTCCCTTCCGGGGCACGTACGGTGAGTCCGAGTAGGGGTGCGGCGGCAGCGAAGCTGTCCCAGCCGGTGGCTCGCGCGGGCACTTGCGGTGACTTTTACCGCTCGGGGAGAGGGACGCAAGGCACCGCGCCCACTCTGGCCAATTTCCAGTTAATCCGCTCTCCGGCGCTTCAAGCCTGACTCCCAGCCTCGCCAAGCACCTCCCCTAAATGGCCTGACTTCTTTTTCTTTTTCTTTTTTTTACAGATTTTATTTATTTATTTGACAGAGAGAGACACAGCCAGAGCAGGAACACAAGCAGGGGGAGTGGGGGAGGGAGAAGCAGGCTTCCCGCGGAGCGGGGAGCCCGATGCCGGGCTCGATCCCAAGACCCTGGGATCATGACCTGAGCGGAAGGCAGATGTTTAACGACTGAGCCACCCAGGCGCCCCTGGCCTGACTTTTTTGTGCAAGAGTAATCACTGCCCACCCGGTTCCTTCTTTGACCCCCTGCGGCGCCTGGTGGAAGCCTTTCTTTCCGGTTCCCCTATTCAGTGGGGAGGAGATGTTGGCAGTTAGTATCAGACCTGTGTGTCCTTGGACTTTGCAAGCACGCGAGTGGGAAAGCAAGGAAAAAGCGGTTAACTTTTATTTAGCTGGAAACAAATTTTTTAAAGGTTTTAATGTTGAATTTTGAAAGCTTTAGAAGCTTTATAGAAGATTTAAATCTCTAGGGGGAAAAATGATGAGAAATCATTCATAAAATTACCTTCCATTGAACTTCACTTTCCCTGCATCCGTGGCTGGCAAAGCCTGGCTCGGACACAATGTAATGTTCAGTAAAGATCACCTATAATCTTCCAAACCTGTAATCCCAAACAGCTTGCTTCCTCACTCTGTCCCCTCATGTTCAGGATCCAAAATGGAAATGGAGGGGATTATATTGGATCAGTTCATTACAGGATCAGCTCAGTATGGTTTTTGCAGGGACATTCAGGGGAGTGTTTTAGGAAAGTATGGTTATTCTAATATCAATATCTAGATTAGGGATATTTCTAAGCTTCCTAGTCCCCACAAAAATATTTATGGATCTAGCTTCCATGGTTTTATCTAAAACTATTTAAGGATTTATGTTTTCAATCTATGTTATTTCTCTCTTGGTACTACTTCTCACATTTACCACCTGCTGTGTAGTATACTTCCTTTTTTTCTTTCTTTTTTTTCTTTTTTGTCCTAATTTTATCTCCTTCAGGTTTTAAGGGGTGCCCTCAGGACTAGCTAGCTAAGATTTGATAGACAAGTCTGTATTCTACCAAAAAAGGAAGTAAGACTTACCAGCTTGCTCTGGGAAGCAGAAATTAATCACAAACCTGAGAACAATTTCTATACAAGCCTATCAGTAGAGTACTGGGAAATCTAGCATCAGAAGATAGTAGTGCTTCATTTTCAGGTCTATATCTTTTGAAAATTGTGTTTATTTACTTATCTCAGTAAAGTACTCTGGAACCTGGCCTTAACACTAACTGGAATAGGACAGACTTTGAGATGAGCCTGTTCTGAATTCTCACCACAGGAGTTTAGTATTCTTAATTTATTATGAGGTGACACAGCCCAAACCATAACATTACAGAAAAAGGTACAAAGAGCTATTATTAAATAATTTGATCTACAGAATTCCAGTTGAGCAGTTCTAACATGTTTTTGAAAAGAAGGGAGGACCTGACTCATCTGATGCTCTAATTATAAGATGTATTCAAACTTAACTAATCAATGAATAAATCTTGAGTTCCTGCTGTCAATAAACCATGAGCAGTTATTGCCTGTCTGTTATATGTATGACACTAGCTTTAGTACAACATCAGCACTTAACAGTAATACATTTAAATCAAAAGACATTTATGAAGTGAATACAAGGCATTTGGCTTGATGTTAAAATCTGAAACTAAGATAAATAACATCAAATAACTTTGCTCAAGGAGTTTATAATCTAGTAAACACAAAGGCCAAAAAAGTACAAAGGCCACCAAACTTGAGGAAGAAAATATTTCAATTGAGAAATGAGAATGATAGTCGGGGTAGGAACTAGGACAGTAAAGAATTTACACTTTCTATTCATCTTTGTTATAAGCTCTTAGATGAGTACAGACAGAAAGAGTTTTTATCCAGCTTGTTTTATTTCAGGTAAAGGAAAGGGTTCAGACTTTGAACCCTTCTCCTCACCATCATTTTAAGTCTATAATAAAATCTTTCCGGAAAATTGAACTCAAGCTTTAAGACAAGTAATTCCCTAGTAAATATTAAAACAGTTTAAAAGGTCAATGATTTGGGGTGGGAGAGCAAAGGTCATTCAGCAGAGTAGCTGCCATAACAAAGAAAAGGGGGATCAGATCAGAAAGGTCTAGAAGAATAAAGCATTTACAGCCTAGCAATTCTTGCCTTTTAGAAAACCCACAAAGGAGAAATATCAGAAAGGATTGTCATTACCACAAGACAAGGCTTACTGTGAGTGGGAGCGGATCAGGTGCCCATCATTTCTTGTAATTATCTTAGATCTTTTTTTTTTCTAAATCCACAGAAAAAGTGCCCCTGTAACCTGAAACTAAGAGTGCATATCCTTCATGAAGATTTGTGTAAACATGCATGAGAACTTTTAAAATTAAGGGAACCAAAAAGTGAAAATAGGCAACATTCTAAGCATACAAATTTTTTTAAAGGTTTTATTTATTTATTTGAGAGAGAGCACAAGCTGGGGTAGTGGGACAGGGAGAAGCAGACTCTCCATTGAGCAGGATCCTGATGCGGGACTCGATCCCAGGACCCTGGGATCATGACCTAAGCCGAAGGCAGACGCCTAACCAATTGAGCCACCCAGGTGCCCCTAAGCATACAAATTTTATTTTAGAATTATAATATGCTTTTTAGGGCACCTGGGTGGCTCAATCTCTCTCTCAGATAAATAAATAAAACCTTTAAAAAATATATAATACGCTTTTTAAAAGGATACTAGATTGTTTATCTCTCCCAACAATCCTATAACAGAGTTCTTATTTTTCCTATTTTACGTATATGCACTCTGAGATCCAGAGTAATTTGGAAGCTTTACCAACTTCAAAAATAAACTCTGAGCCTAATACCTACAGGAGGTAAAAGTAGCCACAATGAGAGGAACAGGACTAAAAAATAATAAAACTCATGAAGCTAGTCAAGAGAATATGACAAAGCTATAGGATAGACAGGTAGATCAAAAGAACAGAATAGAGTCCAGAAATATAATCACACTTAATTGGTCAATTGATTCCCAACAAGGTGCCAAAGCAATTCAATGGATAAAAGAAAGTTTTCCACAAATGGAGTTGGAACAACTGGATAGCCATATGGAAAAAAAAGTGTACTTCAACTCTAGTTCACACCATACATAATAATCAATCCAGCATGGATCATAGACCTAAAGACTAACACTAAAGCTTCTGGAAAAAAACAGGAAAATACCCTAGGGGTAGGCAAAGATGTCTTAGACAAGACAGAACAAGCATTATCTATAAGAGATAAAAAAATATTCAAAAAGTGGACTTCATCAAAACTGAAATCTTCTAGTCAAAAAATATCATTAGGATACAATGGAATATTATGCAGCCATCAAAAAGACTGAAATCTTGCCATTTGCAATGACATAGATGGAACTAGAGGGTATTATGGTAAGCGAAATAAGTCAATCAGAGAAAGACAAGTATCATATGATCTCACTGATATGAGGAATTCTTTTATTTTATTTTATTTTATTATGTTACATTAGTCACCATACATTATATTATTAGTTTTTTATGTAGTGTTCCATGATTCATTGTTTGCATATAACACCCAGTGCTTCATTCAATACATGCCCTCTTTAATACCCATCAGCAGGCTAACCCATCCCTCCACCCCCTAATATGAGGAATTCTTAATCTCAGGAAACAAACTGAGGGTTGCTGGAGTGATGGGGGGTGGGATGGATGGGATGGCTGGGTGATGGACATTGCGGATGGTATGTGCTATGGTGAGCACTGTGAATTGTGTTAAGACTGATGAATCACAGACCTGTACCTCTGAAACAAATTATACTTTATATGTTAAAAAAAAAAAAGAAGATAGTAGGAAGGGAAAAATGAAGGGGGGAGAGTCGGAGGGGGAGACTAACCATGAGAGACTATGGACTCTGAGAAACAAACTGAGGGTTCTGGGCCAGGCGGAATGGGTTAGCCCGGTGATGGGTATTAAGGAGGGCACATATTGCATGGAGCACTGGGTGTTATACGCAAACAATGAATCATGGAACACTACATCAAAAACTAATGATGTACTGTATGGTGACTAACATAACATAATAAAATAAAATTTTAAAAAAATATATAATTAGGAAAATGAATAGGCAAGCACAGATTGAAAGAAAATATTCTCAATACATTTATCTGACAAAGAACTTGTATGCAAAATATACAAAGAATACCTATAACAATAATTAACAGACAAAAATATACAATTAAAAATAGTAAAAATATGCAAAAGATTTGAATAGACACTTTACAAAAGAAGTTATGTAAGTATCTAAGAAGCAGATATAAAAGTGCTCAATGTCATTAGTATTCAGAGATATGCAAATCAAAACCACAATGAGATACTTCTTCCCAAACATCAGAATGGCAAGAATTAAAAAAAAAAAAAAAAGACAAAATCAAATATTGATGAGGGTGTGAAGCAAATGGGATTTTTATACATTGACTGTGAGAGTACGAAATGGAACACCCACACTAGAAAAACTGGCTTGTAGTTTCCTATAATGAGAACATATAGACACAAAGAGAATTGTTTAAGAATTTTTTTGCAGCTTCATTTATAATTGCCAAAACCTGGGAAAACCTAAATGTCCATCAGCAGAAGAAGAGAAAACAAACTGTGGTAACATTCATACAGAAATACTAACTAGGTCTCAAAAAATAGTAAGAAAGTACTGACACATAGTAACATGGCTGAATTTCGATACTATGTCAAGTAAAAGAAACATTTACATGAAGTTCAAAGACAAGTAAAACTTTTTTTTTTTTTAAAGATTTTATTTATTTATTTGAGACAGAGAGAATGAGAGAGAGAGAGCACATGAGAGGGGGGAGGGTCAGAGGGAGAAGCAGACTCCCCGCCGAGCAGGGAGCCCGATGCGGGACTCGATCCCGGGACTCCAGGATC